CTGGTCAAGATCTAGCTACACCAGGCCTGCGACTGGTCAAGACCAAGTTACACCAGGCCTGCGACTGGTCAAGACCTAGCTACACCAGGTCTGTGACTGTGTAGACCTAGCTACACCAGGACTATGACTGGTCAAGACCTAGCTACACCAGGCCTGCAACTGGTCAAGATCTAGCTACACCAGGCCTGCAACTGGTCAAGATCTAGCTACACCAGGCCTGCGACTGGTCAAGACCTAGCTACACCAGGCCTGTGACTGTGTAGACCTAGCTACACCAGGACTATGACTGGTCTAGACCTAGCTACACCAGGCCTGCAACTGGTCAAGACCTAGCTACACCAGGCCTGCAACTGGTCAAGATCTAGCTATACCAGGCCTGCAACTGGTCAAGATCTAGCTACACCAGGCCGGCGACTGGTCAAGAAAAAGCTATACCAGGCCTGCGACTGGTCAAGACCTAGCTACACCAGGCCGGCGACTTGTCAAGAAAAAGCTATACCAGGCCTGCGACTGGTCAAGACCTAGCTACACAAGGTCTGTGACTGGTCAAGACCTAGCTACACCAGGCTTCAGACTGGTCAAGACCTAGATACACCCGGCCCCGGACAGGTCAAGACCTAGCTACACCAAGTCTGCGACTGGTAAAGATCTAGCTACACCAGGCCTGTGACTGGTCAAGATCTAGCTACACCAGGCCTGCAACTGGTCAAGATCTAGCTACACCAATCCTGTGACTGGTCAAGATCTAGTTACACCAGGCCTATGACTGGTCAAGACCTAGATACACCAGGCCTGCAACTGGTCAAGACCTAGCTACACCAGGCCTGGGACTGGACAAGACCTAGCTACACCAGGCCTGGGACTGGACAAGACCTAGCTACACAAAGTCTGTGACTGGTCAAGACCTAGATACACCCGGCCTGCGACTGGTCAAGACCTAGCTACACCAGGCCTGCGACTGGTCAAGATCTAGCTACACCAGGCCTGTGACTGGTCAAGATCTAGCTACACCAGGCCTGCGACTGGTCAAGACCTAGTTACACCAGGCCTGCGACTGGTCAAGACCTAGCTACACCAGGCCTGTGACTGTGTAGACCTAGCTACACCAGGACTATGACTGGTCAAGACCTAGCTACACCAGGCCTGCAACTGGTCAAGATCTAGCTACACCAGGCCTGCAACTGGTCAAGATCTAGCTACACCAGGCCTGCAAACTGGTCAAGACCTAGCTACACCAGGCCTGCAACTGGTCAAGATCTAGCTACACCTGGACTATGACTGGTCAAGACCTGGATACACCAGGCCTGCGACTGGTCAAGACCTAGTTACACCGGGCCTGTGACTGGTCAAGACCTAGCTACACCAGGCCTGTGACTGGACAAGACCTAGCTACACCAGGACTATGACTGGTCAAGACCTAGCTACACCAGGCCTATGACTAGTCAAGACCTAGCTACACCAGGTCTGCAACTGGTCAAGACCTAGCTACACCAGGCATGCAACTGGTCAAGATCTAGCTACACCAGGCCTGCGACAGGTCAAGATCTAGCTACACCATGCCTGTGACTGGTCAAGATCTAGTATACCAGGCCTCGGCCTGGTCAAGATCTAGCTACACCAGGCCTCAGACTGCACAAGACTTAGATACACCAGGCCTGCGGCTAGTAAAAACCTAGCTACATCACTCTGTGATCATCCCAGAAACAGGAACCCTATGGGAGCCTAGCCACCGTAGATGGGATAGATAGCTGTTTCCTTTGAAGTATGAGCGCATCTGCCTGAGAAGCAAGGAACCAACAGTCTGCACACAAATAAGCCAGATCTGGAACAAGGCCAGTCAACCGCTCTGAATGTGATAAGGGCCAGGAAAAGATGTCAGCTCATGGACTGATACACACTGGGATGCAGAGAAGCAGGACTGCCAACGACTGTTAACAAGGCACTTGATGATGATATATGTTTTATAATAAAAATTTATCAGCCCACTTAGAAGACAATTTTGACTGTCATGGAAAACAAATTAGTAAACAAAAAGAGGCACATATAAAAACAATTTACATCAAACAAAAAATCCAACATAGAAGAAAAAGAAGAAGAAGAAGATAACATTCTTAGAAAAAAGATTTGTTACAGCAATGTACAGGATGACTTAAAAATATGGCTTATTTTTCCAGTATGCATGTATCAGAAAGTAAAGAGTGACTCTCCAAAGTTTGTGGAGTATGCGTGTATCAGAAAGTAAAGAGTGACTCTCCAAAGTTTGTGGAGTATGCATGTATCAGAAAGTAAAGAGTGACTCTCCAAAGTTTGTGGAGTATGCATGTATCAGAAAGTAAAGAGTGACTCTCCAAAGTTTGCGGAGTATGCATGTATCAGAAAGTAAAGAGTGACTCTCCAAAGGTTGCGGAGTATGCATGTATCAGAAAGTAAAGAGTGACTCTCCAAAGGTTGCGGAGTATGCATGTATCAGAAAGTAGAGAGTGACTCTCCAAAGTTTGGGGAGTATGCATGTATCAGAAAGTAAAGAGTGACTCTCTAAAGGTTGCGGAGTATGCATGTTCACATGCTGTGATGTGAACCGCAAGCAGCTTAAGGAAGTTAAGTGATCTGGCAATGTTGTGTATTGTTGGTCTGAAGAATTGCCTACCCCAGTGATTCCCAAACTGTACGCCGCAGCGCCCAGGGAAGCCACCACCTCTTCACAGGGGCATCGTGAAATATTCGAAGATACACAAGTTTTAATTGTTTTGATCTCTTAAATTCGATTAGTCATACTTTTACTTAGGTTAGGGTGCCGTGAAATATTCGAAGGTACGCATGTTTTATTTGTTTTGATCTCTTAAATACGAATAGTCATACTTTTACTTAGGTTAGGGCGCCATAGAAAAATGTTAACAGGAAAAAGGCGCTGCGACTAAGGAAAGTTTAGGAAACACTGGTCTTTCCAGTGTTCTCATTCCAGAGCCATAAAACTGCTGAATGATTTAACATGGACAATTAAACATGTAGCCTCCCTGTGTGGGTTCCAAGGCCCAACTGTGGGGGAAATAGACCCACTGCCTCCAGAACAAGCAGGTTGTAAGAGCCAACTAATTCACAGCTTTCTTTAACGTTGAAGTGCATCTGCCTGAGAGGCAACGAACCAACAGTCTAAAAAGAATTCAATCATATCTGTAAAATGGATGTACACACAACACCCAGGTTCTGGAACAGGACTAGAGTCCAGAAGTGGACAAACAACCAGAACTTTCCACCAGAGTTTACAGCGGGTGAGTGGGAGGGAGAAGAAACATGTAGCCCCATTTCTGACCCTGTACTTGAAAGAATGAAAAGCCTTTGAGCAACAAGTATATTTTGTATAAGAAAGATATGTTTTATCAGAACATTCTTGCAAAAATAGAAACTTATAAGTCTTGAACAACAGCATTTTATACTTTTAGACTAAATAATCAAATAATTAAAGTAACCTTTTTGCAGAAAAAAAAGTTTAAAACAACTTTCTTAAAATGCAAAACACAAATAAGACAGTTCAGAAAAAGCAGTTTATGAAAAGTTCCTTTGTAAATAGACAAGGAGCCCAAAAGAAGTAAATCACAATTCCAAAGTGGCACACACTTTTGTAATAACCAAGTACTGTAATTTCAGCAATTAAAAATATGGCCAAATCAACATGCATGTCCTCACCAAAGACAGATAGCACAATGACATGCCATAAAGATTTAAAAAAAAAAAAACTTACATAATATTCATTTTAGCAAACACTACATTTTGTGGACTCCTTGATGAAATACATGATATATGATACATATCTAAATTTGCCTGGAAAATGACATTTCTGAATATTTGTAAAATACTCGTTCTTGAGTAAACAAAAAGCCATGAAAAATAAATCACAAGCCAAAAGTGCTCAGAGGCATGCTATAAAAATTAATGAAAAAATAAAAATGTTAGTTATTTTAATTTAAACAATACCGTATTTTACAGTTTATAAGAAGCTATAGATTATTTATTATAAAATGCACCTCACATTTTAAAGAAAAAAAAATATTACATTTGTATCAATTACTTGTAATTTACTGCAAGTGTACCTCCCAAATATTATATCAGTAATCTTATAATGCCATGAGTGCCCAGTAAATACCATAGAACAAACCAAAACAAAAAACCTCAATTTACTGGTAAAACTTTGCAACCAACTGAATAACAAATGTTGGCAGATAGCAATATATTTTCTTGGCTTATGAAATATGACTTATTCTTTAAGACTAGCATTAAAACAGGGAATTTTAATTCAGAGAAAACAGATACCAGTTTTGAGTATAATATACATGTAAATTTTGGAGGTTATTTCTCAAAGGAAAAGTGCATCTTGTAGCCTGAAACGTATGGCAATATCACAATATGTTGTGCTGTGAGGTGTGACTTGATGTGAACAATGCAAATGCATAATTAAAAAGTATACCTTGGTAAATATAATATACTAAATGATACCTGGGTAAATAAAATATTCTAAATGAATAAACAGACATAAAACATATATCATTCAGAAAGAAGAAAAAACCGATATTTAACAATAACAAACCAAAATGAAATAGTTTGATAAAACAACACTAGAATGACTAGGAATGTTAAATACATCTTTACAAAGTGTATTTAAAACAGAGGACAGTCAAACTTTTTCTTTCAATCTCTGCAAATGAGACTGAATTATCACAATTTGTATGTTATTTTGTTTTTTAAAGCTGGTCTCATATAAAACCACATATTGAGCAAATATGACAATTAACAATGAAGAAATTGAAAATGTAAAAAGCTTTGAATTGACCAGTCATGGTGATTGAGGGGAAAAAGAAGGTACAAGGATACCGCTTGTAGAAATGCAGAAATACAAATAGTTGCATATTTTTTAAACACCCTGTATCAGACAACAAATTACATATCATGATTGGCATTTCTGAATATTTCTGTGACCTTCCCAGAAAAAAACTCAGATCTCCTATCTAATCAATCAACACCTCAAAATGGACTTGCCCAATCTGTTCGACGTGGTCGTGGTAGATATTTTTGGCAAAAGCACGACAGGTCATCATGAACAGTATGCCAGGATGCGCGTTTTGGAAGCGCAGGAAGATCAAGGGAGACCTGTATCCTTGCTGGTTGCGGAAAGGGAAGTACTTGTAGTGGAAGCCTTGTTCTGAAGGGAAGTACACAAGGTCACCCATGTTCTCTCTGGTTATATGGTTCTGAGGAAGAAATCAAGTAAAACCTTTGATCATTTCTCTATCTAGTCATCTTGGATATGTAAGAAAAAAATATTAGGAACCCCATGTGTCATCGTGTAGCTTTTATCTCCCAATGGGGGTTAATCTGGGCAAACATGCCTGCAGAAGTCAAAAGTGTTGGCCCGAAAGGCACAAATATCACAGCCATGATGTAAACAAGCACAGTACACTTACATTTTCTGATGAATGCACAAGAAGATCTCCCAGTGGAGCACAGGGTTTCTACCTTCTGCCTTTACAAGTAGTTCTTTGTGTGTGTTCTGGGGCTCCATCTACCTTCTGCCTTTACAAGTAGTTCTTTGTGTGTGTTCTAGGGCTCCATCTACCTTCTGCCTTTACAAGTAGTTCTTTGTGTGTGTTCTGGGGCTCCATCTACCTTCTGCCTTGACTACAAGTAGTTCTTTGTGTGTGTTCTGCGGCTCCATCTACCTTCTGCCTTTACAAGTAGTTCTTTGTGTATGCTCTGCGGCTCCATTTTACAGAACAATGAACAGACCCACTGACCCCTAACAATTATGTCATCGAAAGTGACCAGTTATGAGTGTTTGATTCCAAGTAAGAGTGCATCTGCCTAAGACGCAAGGAACCAACAGTCTGTACAGAGCTAAGCCAGATACGTAAAACAGATGTAAAACTCAACTTCTGAACTAAAGTCCAGGTTGGGACAAACAACCAGAACATTCTGCTGGGGTTTACAGCCAGTAAACGCTAAGAAGAAGATGGCTACAAGTAGCCTTACTAAAACAATGACCTGGCTGGAGGCACAGGCCTTCACTTAGGCACACTTTCTATGAGGCCCAATGCTTTCTATGAGGCCCAATGCTTTCTATGAGGCTCAATGCTTTCTATGAGGCTCAATGCTTTCTATGAGGCTCAATGCTTTCTATGAGGCTCAATGCTTTCTATGTGGCTCAATGCTTTCTATGTGGCTCAATGCTTTCTATGTGGCTCAATGCTTTCTATGTGGCTCAATGCTTTCTATGTGGCTCAATGCTTTATATGTGGTTTAATTCTTTTCTTTGTGGCTCAATGCTTTCTATGAGGTTCAATGCTTTATATGAGGCTCAATGCTTTCTATGTGGCTCAATGCTTTCTATGAGGTTCAATGCTTTCTATGAGGCTCAATGCTTTCTATGAGGCTCAATGCTTTCTATGAGGTTTAATGCTTTCTATGAGGCTCAATGCTTTCTATGAGGCTCAATGCTTTCTATGAGGCTCAATGCTTTCTATGAGGCTCAATGCCTTCTATAAGGCTCAATGCCTTCTATAAGGCTCAATGCTTTCTATGAGGCTCAATGCTTTCTATGAGGCTCAATGCTTTCTATGAGGCTCAATGAGCATGCTAAAGAAACCTGAGATCAGCTAGTCTCGAAGATAGTGGTCAGTCTCTGAGGTGACCATAGCTGACAAAGACCAGTTTAATTTTTATTCCAGGACATGCAGGTATAAGATGACATGACAAGAGCTGATACACTTGCAGGTAAGTCTACTGTGAACAAGGCTGATACACTTGCAGGTAAGTCTACCGTGAACAAGGCTGATACACTTGCAGGTGAGTCTACAATGAACAAGGCTGAGGTACACTTGCTTTAAGTCTACCGTGAACAAGGCTGATACACTTGCAGGTAAGTCTACCGTGAACAAAGCTGATACACTTGCAGGTAAGTCTACCGTGAACAAGGCTGATACACTTGCAGGTAAGTCTACCGTGAACAAGGCTGATACACTTGCAGGTAAGTCTACCGTGAACAAGGCTGATACACTTGCAGGTAAGTCTACCGTGAACAAGGCTGATACACTTGCAGGTAAGTCTACCGTGAACAAGGCTGATACACTTGCAGGTAAGTCTACCGTGAACAAGGCTGATACACTTGCAGGTAAGTCTACCGTGAACAAGGCTGATACACTTGCAGGTAAGTCTATTGTGAACAAGGCTGATACAATGAATGCACTGCGAGAAGATGTCTGCTCAAGTCAAATTTAAAGGTGAGAGGATTGACTTCACTGCGCCGGCTTTATCACATATGGCTTAGTCTCTCTTCTGCAGAACAGATAGCTGCCTGAGGAGAGTGTCCACACAGAGCATAGACTCCGTAGCTTTGGCAATGATCCCCAGAGATGTCTATAAAAATTGCACTTGTGAACTGAACAGCGCAGAGAATTTTGTTTCCTCCTTTTTAGGACGAAATTTTTTGTTATTTGAAGCCCCACCCTGGCTTTTGCCAGGGACTGCAATATAGGCAGGCCATAAATGTAGCCAATTGTCTAAACTCGGTTTCTGGGACCTCTCCACGGTGATCCTCGTCCACCTGGTGGCACTTTGTGTCATCGGGTGTTTGTCGCTTGTGTGATGTTCTGGTGGGGTAGAAAGTCAGTCAGTCAGTCAGTGAACAGCGCTGTTGTGAAGCAAACCCACAACCTTCAGAGCACAGGTCAAAGGGCTTGACCCTCCAGCTCAAATCAAATGATGGCTGTCAATAACCATATCCAGACTGCATGTCAAAAGGGAAGAGGCCAGAGAAGAGCACTATGCAGGAAGCCAAAGAAGAAGGATAAATCATCGCAGGATTAGTGTAGTCAGTCGCTACATTCTGTGGGATTTACTGGGGAAGGGATATGAGTACTTATGAACTGTCTGCACCGAGAATGAACTGTCAAGTAACTAAACTAGCTTCGACCAATGTGCTAAAACAAACGCTTTGTAAATTCATTCATCACTAGTTTAATTTTGAAATCCTTCTAATGTGGGATTAAGTAGCCAGTCTCGCTCCAACCCTACATAGTGGCCTCAAGAGACGTTCATGACAGGTTCCATGTTACTACTCCTTGCTTCTCTTATGGGTCTCAGTAACACAGATATGAGTAAAGTAAGTTTGAGATTGGCAAATAAGCCATGTGTGCACATGGACTGGCATCTGAGACAACAGATCACAACCTCCAAGACTGTCCCGAATACAACTTTTCCAGGCAAAACTTTTGGCCAAGAGAGACACTGGTGGAAGCCAAACTTTACGGGCCTCTAAGTGAATTACAACAGACAGTGAAGTTCATACTAGAGACAGCACTGCAGATATAGTTCCTTTATTTCAAGGTAAACGGAAGAAGAAGAAGTGAAGTAAGTACCCTTTATTACACGTGTGTGCACTGGGCAGATCAATCGATCAGTGTGTCCCTTCTGGGCTGCTACCTAAATGAGATTTTAAAATCTAAATCTCGATGGCAGACCCACAAGGTGCATCTCAAATACTCGGTTCAAACCACAAACAAGTTAAAATTAGGGCAGCGATAACGGCTTAATCAGCCAGGTGTAACTTGCAGTCATGTATTAACTGGGTCATATCATGCTAGACTCAAATTGTATAGACCAGCACTCAGTGGGTGATGAGGTCAAAATCATGCCGGCTGCCTTTACTTCCCAGGTTGGTTGACTCCTCATGGGAACAATCTGTAGAGATACCTTGGAGTGGCAGCTGCACTGAGCATGCCCAATGTGCAATGAGGCTGACTGTATTAACAAAACTGCTGAGAAATTTACCTGGTTTCAATTTTAGGCTGGGTCAACCTGGAAGGCAATGCTTTAATGCGGATTCAAACCCAAGTCCTTCAGGACGGCTGCTGAACATCTAGCCACTTTGCTACTGCAGATCCCTTTTTCAGAATTCCGCACCCCCAAGAGAAGTTGAAGTAAGTAAAGGACCCTCTATTCATCCTCTGCTGGCTGGCCTTCTCTTTTCAGTTGAGGAACATCCAAATGTGTCCCTTCTGGGCTGCTTTTCTCCATCGTTCTACATCTCGATGGTCAGACCTACAAGGTGCCATTATACATTTTTATCTCTGTCGTTCTGACACTCTCCAATATGCAAGTTTTCAAAATGTTACTAGGGCAATGCGATGACGGCTTTGGATCCCACCTGAACGCATATACTTTCAGTTTTGTATTGCTAGAAGTCCATATCATGCTAGACTCAACTTGTATAGACAGCACTCCCTGGGTGATGTAGTCAAAATCATGTCGGACTGCTTTACTTCCCAGGTTGGTGACTTTCCTTTTTGCTTCTCACTCTGTATTCCTACCTTGGAGTGGCAGTTTGCACTGAGCAAAAGCCCAATGTGCAACAAAAATACTGACTGTAATAACATAAAATCCCTTGAGGACTAAAACTATCAATCAGTAAGTAGGCTAAATAAACAACACATTCTATGCTAAAAACTTTAAACAACTAATCTCCCCAGATAAGGGTTAAAAAAAAAAAAAAACTAGGAGCAATTGTGTGTACACAAAAACCCCACATCTGTGATTGGAAACCTGAATGAATTAGTTATTTTAACAGTATACTGAGGTCTGATTTTCTAAGGGAGCTAGTTATGTTAACATTCTGAATGTGGCTGGTTATCTAAGGGGACTAGTCATTTTAACAGTCTGAGGGTGCTTGCTTTTCTAAAGGAACTAGTTAACATTCTGCTGGTGCCTAGCTTTTAAGCAAACTAGTTGTTTTAACAGTCAGCCGATGACTGGTTTTCAAAGGGAATTAGTTATTTTAACAATATTAGAGTTCCTGGCCTTTCTTGTTGGCTAGAGATTACAATGGAATAAAGTGCCACAACTCAGTAACTTACATCGCCATCACATCTCACAACAACCCACCAAGGGTCATCCTCGTTCCAGACGTTTTTGATAATATTTGGAACAGTTTCATTGGAATATTCTTCTGGCTGCCAACCAAACACCTAAAAATGAAGACAAAAAAAACAACACAATAAGCACATTGCATTTGACCCCACCAAAGTATCAGTCAGTTAATCTCATCTGGATCCTCCCACGTGGACCGAGAGAGGTCAAGTGAAATATAAACTGTGTGACAGTGCCTACTGGTGTGCCTTGTATACAAGTACTCCCAGGAACTCAATCACTTTACTGGTTTCTCTTGTGATTCTCACTTGGTCTGTACAATTGCTGTGGTATACTGTCTGATAGCTGCGGAGTTAAATGGCCAAATCATTTCACTTAGTGCTTTCTAATCAAATGGGAGCTGTGGAAGTATAAGGTCATGGGTTTAAATACGATCAGAGCCAGACTGTTTTCAAAAAATGACCTTGGCTTCCAAGTCAACCCAGCCTTAAATGGGTACCAGGTAGGTTATGGGAAGTAAAGGCGGCCAGGAAGATGCTGACTACATCACTGATTAGGCTATAAAATATAGGTATAGAACTATATTTCCAATATACTACCATGACCACGTCGAACAGACTGGGCAAGTCCATTTTAAGGTATTAATTGATTAGACAGGAAAATAATTACCTTTTAAAAAAACTTTTCAATGAAATATAAGACTCTATAACCCCTCCCCTCCGCCCTAATTTTCTTTCAGATTTAATAATTTCTGATTATTTTTCTTCTCAATATGTCAAGTACTTTTCTCATAAATGTAATCCAACGCTGTATAAATTTTTCTTTTTTCTCCGTCCTTTTTGATGCAAGCTGAGTTTTCACTCTCCCTTGTTATACCCCACCTGGACATCACACAAGCGATAAACACCCAGTGACACAAAGTGCCACCATGCGGATGAGGATCACCTGTGGATAGGTCCCAGAAACCCCTTTCAGCCATTAGGCCATATATATGGCCCGACTATATTCAGGGCCCCCCGGCAAAAGCCAGGGTCGAGCTTCAAACAGCGATAACTATATAATAATAACATTATAATAAATTCTGTTAACACTGAGAGAGAGAGAGAGAGAGAGAGAGAGAGAGAGAGAGAGAGAGAGAGAGAGAGAGAGAGAGAGAGAGAGAGAGAGAGAGAGAAGATAAAGAAGAAGAAGAAGAAGAGAGAGAAAGAGAAAGAGAGAGACCAACCTTGTTTAACTTAAGCAAGATACAAGGCTGACCATCATCAAAGCCATAGTTCTGCTGTTTCACACAGTCGCCTCCGAGGACAATAGGATCGAACACACAAACTTTGTTGAGGTTTGTCTTTCTTCGTGTCCTGATTTCACTGCAGTCTAGGAAATTATCTCCCTGCTGCAGCTCATTTTCATAATCTGTTGGGAAGTAATCATTTTATTTTGATAATTTATCTGATACTTGTTCTTTCCAAATGAAATAGAGGCACTACTGTCCACGTGATAGTGAAGAAAGCATGAACACAGAACATAACTAGGAAGCATGACAGGAGAAAAAGACTGAGATGCAAGTAAACATTTCAATCACTCTTAACAAAGTAAAGGTAAAGGCGACAGGATCAACTTCATTGCATCAGGTTTTTATCCCATATGGCTAAGTCTCTCTCCGCAAGAAAAAAGCAGTCATCTTGCTGAGAGCGTTGCACAAAGCATGACCTCCATAGCTCAGGTGACGATCCTCAGGGATCTCTGTAACAACTGTACTTGTGAATTGAATGGCACTACCGTGAAATGAACCCACAACCTTTAAAGCGTGAGGCAAATAATTTGACCACTTCGCCACTGAGGCCCCCAACCAGTCTTGATGAATGAACAAAGCAATGATGCAGAGGGGCATCTACACCTGCTGTAGGGGCATCCACACCTGTTGTAGGGGCATCCACACCTGCTGTAGGGGCATCCACACTTGCTCTAAGGGCATCCACACTTGCTGTAGGGGCATCCACACCTGTTGTAGGGGCATCCACAACTGCTGTAGGGGCATCCACACCTGCAGTAGGGGCATCCACACCTGCAGTAGGGGCATCCACACCTGCTGTAGGGGCATCCACACCTGCTGTAGGGGCATCCACACCTGCTGTAGGGGCATCCACACCTGTTGTAGGGGCATCCACACCTGCTGTAGGGGCATCCACACCTGCAGTAGGGGCATCCACACCTGCTGTAGGGGGCATCCACACTTACTGTAGGGCATCCACACACCTGCTTGTAGGGGCATCTACACCTGCTGTAGGGGCATCCACACCTGTTTGTAGGGCATCCACACCTGTTGTAGGGGCATCCACACCTGCTGTAGGGGCATCCACACCTGCTGTAGGGGCATCCACACCTGCTGTAGGGGCATCCACACCTGCTGTAGGGGCATCCACACCTGCTGTAGGGGCATCCACACCTGTTGTAGGGGCATTCACACTTGCTGTAGGGGCATCCACACCTGTTGTAGGGGCATCCACACCTGCTGTAGGGGCATCCACACCTGTTGTAGGGGCATCCACACCTGTTGTAGGGGCATCCACACCTGTTGTAGGGGCATCCACACCTGTTGTAGGGGCATCCACACCTGCTGTAGGGGCATCCACACCTGCTGTAGGGGCATCCACATCTGCTGTAGGGGCATCCACACCTGCAGTAGTGGCATCTACACCTGCTGTAGGGGCATCCACACTTGCTGTAGGGGCAATCACACTTGCTGTAGGGGCATCCACACTTGCTGTAGGGGCAATCACACTTCCTGTAGGGAACCAGAACCAAGGCTCATACTAGACAAGACCAATCTACAGCTTGACGTGGTCATCACAGAAATAGGTTCCTTACTGGGGAGCTGGCCAACAAAGATGGCATTTATGTTTTCTAAAAGTCAAAGCATAACTGTCAGAGAGGTAACCAACCACGAGTCTGTACACAAAAAGCCAGAATTGAAAAATGAATATGCATGCAACACTCAAGTCCAGAAATAAACTAAGTCCACCATAAATGACCAACCATGATGTATTGCAGAAGCACACAGCCTATAAATGATGACGAAGAAGAAGGAGAGGAAGGAGAGGAGGAAGAAGGAGGAGAAGAATAAGAAGAGGAAGAAGAAGGAGAGAGGAAGATGGAGAGGAAGAAGAAGAAGAAGAAAAGGCCCACTGATTCCCTAACAAGCATGTTGTACACAGCAACTAATTAGGGAGTTTCCTTTGAAGTCAGAGTGCATCTGCACTTACGGGAGGAACCAACAATCTGCATACAAATAAGCCAGATCTGTAAAACTGATGTGCAGCAAAAACTCAAGTTCCGAAACAAGAGCAAAATCCAGAGGTGGACGAACAACCAGAACTAAACTACTGAATGCAAGCTTGCCTAGAAAAATCCCATCACATGTTTGCAAAGGAAGTGCGAGTAACTTATTTTTTTTAACATTTTAAATTCACAAACATACAGAACATAACATGCAGACTGATGCACATAAATAATACAGTTAACTTTTTTGTTGCTTGTTTGTTTGGTACTTACAGAGTTGAACAAGAAAATTTAACAAAAGTTTACTTACACTGGATATAAGACTCAATGTGATCAAGGTAGTGGATGTAGGAATTGAAATCCCCTTTCACAAATCTGATTAGAGTAGTCCCAATGTTCGGCTGAGGTCGGAATCCCAACCCAGGTGTCTGCGAGAGTGACAAGTGACAAAGATAAATGTTCAGTCTTCTCTGTAACAAATGGCAGAGACAATAATGTTTAGTCTTCTCTGTAACAAATGGCAGAGACAATAATGTTTAGTCTTCTCTGTAACAAATGGCAGAGACAATAATGTTTAGTCTTCTCTGTAACAACTGGCAGAGACAATAATGTTTAGTTTTCTCTGTAACAAATGGCAGAGACAATAATGTTTAGTCTTCTCTGTAACAACTCGCAGAGACAATAATGTTCAGTCCTCTCCGTAGCAAATGGCAGAGACAATAATGTTTAGTCTTCTCTGTAACAACTGGCAGAGACAATAATGTTCAGTCCTCTCCGTAACAATTGGCAGAGACAATAATGTTTAGTCTTCTCTGTAACAAATGGCAGAGACAATAATGTTTAGTCTTCTCTGTAACAACTGGCAGAGACAATAATGTTCAGTCCTCTCCGTAGCAAATGGCAGAGACAATAATGTTTAGTCTTCTCTGTAACAAATGGCAGAGACAATAATGTTCAGTCTTCTCTGTAACAACTGGCAGAGACAATAATGTTTAGTCTTCTCTGTAACAACTGGCAGAGACAATAATGTTTAGTCTTCTCTGTAACAACTGGCAGACACAATAATGTTCAGTCTTCTCTGTAACAACTGGCAGAGACAATAATGTTTAGTCTTCTCTGTAACAACTGGCAGAGAAAATAATGTTTAGTCTTCTCTGTAACAACTGGCAGAGACAATAATGTTCAGTCTTCCTCTGTAACAACTGGCAGACACAATAATGTTTAGTCTTCTCTGTAACAACCAACACTGACAAACATGTTTTAGTATTCTCTATGATAACTGATCACCAATGTCACACCCGCTGCCATACTTCTCATAACATCTGAGGCTTAGTTGATCTTATATTCATGAGAGAGACTAAAGGTGCACGACTGGTGTTTCAAACAGTATATCCATGCGAGTCCTGGTAACATCAAAGTGCGGATGCTTGCTATCCACTCCTGCCACATATGTCCATTTGAAATCTTCAGTAATACTACAGAGAACAGTTTTGGTATAAAGATCAGTATTGTCATGGGTACAAACCACACAGGGACAGTTGCTTGTAATTGAAATGACAGCATAGGACAGACAGAAATAAAAGAATAGACCAGCAAAAAAGGCACAACACATTGATGATGATGTTGATGATGATCCTGGAATCCATGTCAAGTTTAAACAAAAATCTTAACTCAATAACAATTCTGATAGTAAGGTACTGGGCACATAGACATATGCATTAGATGCTGAGCTACTGCAGCTCTCACCATAGAATACTGAACAAATATATTCTTTCTGTTGAGGAAGTATATTCTATGCTGTCAGGTAATCACCATTCCTACTTCATAGCAAATGAGTTACCCCATAGCTTCTTCATCTCCTGTGCCAACTAAAACCACACAGAATGTCTGTCATTGTCTCTTGTGAACAAACTGACAGATTTGAAGCATGAGGCTTCCTTCAGAAGTGCCAACACAAACAGTCTGACACTAGAAATCCAGTTCATCATCGATGGAAGCAGCAGTTACAACAGATCAGTAGTTGCACATGCAATTAATCACATAAGAAATTACCTGTTATCTCTGTCAACAGGCTACAGGCCATTTTCTGAATCTGAAGTTCACAACACATTTCATTCATTATCCTGTTCTACCATTAAATGTCACATAGGGCTCACTGTCTATTCTTCCATTCCGTTCTACCCTGTGCAATCAGTTGAATATCATGGATGGAATTCAGTCTAGCAACTTCTGCCTCTCTCCTCAACGTCCGTCTTAGGGTTTCTTTCGGGTATCCTCGCCTCCTTAATGCTGTTATTTCCCATTCCAATGCCTGTCTGGTGATTCTCTGCTGGTTTCTTCTCAGGCTGTGTCCAATGTAGCGTAATCTTCTCTGACTTATAACTGTTAATAATAGTGGCTGCCCAGACATTTCTCTTATTTCTTTACTTCTTTTGAATTCATCCTATATTATTTTCATAATTTTCGGAGACATCTGTTTCTAAATGCATTTGGAATGCAATTAATCACAACACGCTGTTTAGTTCTATTCTAGAATATGGGAAATGTATTCAACCCAAGAAAAAGTACAAATATTTTACCATGGAATACAAGGGAAAATATATTTCTATCTAGAATACAGAGGAAATATATTCTACCCTAGAATATATTGAAATACAGCCTAGTAAAAAGGTTCATTCAGTGTCATTTGTGTGTCTGCATTTTTTAAAATTTTCTCCTTCCACCACTGCAGCCTAGAAGGCTGACACCTGGCAAATTGAAGCGCCACTTTTCAGAAGATGTTCCAACAGCAGCAAGTTCAAGAAACCATATTAAACAGTTACACTGGGACAATCTACAGTTACACCAGGACACTGTACTGTTACACTGGGACACTGTACTGTTACACTGGGACACTGTACTGTTACACTGGGACACTGTACTGTTACACTGGGACACTGTACAGTTACACTGGGACATTGTATAGTTACACTGGGACACTGTACAGTTACACTGGGACATTGTATAGTTACACTGGGACATTGTATAGTTACACTGGGACATTGTATAGTTACACTGGGACATTGTATAGTTACACTGGGACATTGTATAGTTACACTGGGACATTGTATAGTTACACTGGGACATTGTATAGTTACACTGGGACATTGTATAGTTACACTGGGACATTGTATAGTTACACTGGGACACTGTACAGTTACACTGGGACATTGTATAGTTACACTGGGACATTGTATAGTTACACTGGGACATTGTATAGTTACACTGGGACATTGTATAGTTACACTGGGACACTGTACAGTTACACTAGGACACTGTATAGCTACACTGGGACACTGTATAGCTACACTGGGACACTGTATAGCTACACTGGGACACTGTATAGCTACACTGGGACACTGTATAGCTACACTGGGACACTGTATAGCTACACTGTACTGTTACACTGGGACACTGTATAGCTACACTGTACTGTTACACTGGGACACTGTATAGCTACACTAGGATGCTGTACAGTTACACTGGGACAAAGTACTGGGACACTGTACAGTTACACTGTACAGTTACACAGGGAGGCTGTACAGTTACACTGGGAAACTGTACAGTTACACTGGGACAAAGTACAGTTACACTGGGACACTGTACAGTTACACTGGGAGACCTTAGTTACACTGGGACACTGTAGTTACAATGGGACACTGTACAGTTACAATGGGGCACTGTACAGTTACAATGGGACACTGTACAGTTACACTGGGACACTGTACAGTTACACTGGGACAAAGTACAGTTACACTGGGACACTGTACAGTTACACTGAGAGACCTTAGTTACACTGGGACACTGTAGTTACAATGGGACACTGTACAGTTACAATGGGACACTGTACAGTTACACTGGGACACTGTACAGTTACACTGGGACAAAGTACAGTTACACTGGGACACTGTACAGTTACACTGAGAGACCTTAGTTACACTGGGACACTGTAGTTACAATGGGACACTGTGCAGTTACAATGGGACACTGTACAGTTACAAATTAACCTGCCATCCTATGTCAGGAGATTAGATTCCTGTGTGGTGTTTTATTTATTATTGTTTGCTGATGAAGACTTATCACCACAACACCATTTGCTCACTGTAAATCTGTAAAAGTGACCTCTAGTTTATGTTTTTCAATTGTTTATACTTTCACAGAATCAGTGCCGTTCAATCCATGTCTCCCCGTCTTGGTTCTGAGAGAGAGAGAGAGACAATCTATGTCTCCCCGTCTTGTTTCTGAGAGAGAGAGAGAGAGACAATCCATGTCTCCCCCGTCTTGATTCTGAGAGAGAGAGAGAGAGACAATCCATGTCTCCCCGTCTTGGTTCTGAGAGAGAAAGAGACAATCCATGTCTCCCCGTCTTGTTTCTGAGACAGAGAGACAATCCATGTTTCCTCGTCTTGTTTCTGAGAGAGAGAGAGACAATCCATGTCTCCCCGTCTTGGTTCTGAGAGAGAGAGAGAGAATCCATGTCTCCCAATCTTGTTTCTGAGAGAGAGACAATCCATGTCTCCCCGTCTTGTTTCTGAGAGAGAGAGAGACAATCCGTGTCTCCCCCATCTTGGTTCTGAGAGAGAGAGACAATCCATGTCTCCCCCATCTTGGTTCTGAGAGAGAGAGAGAGAGAGAGAGAGAGAGAGAGAGAGAGAGAGAGAGAGAGAGAGAGACAATCCATGTCTCCCCCGTCTTGGTTCTGAGAGAGAGAGAGAGAGACAATCCATGTCTCCCCCGTCTTGGTTCTGAGAGAGAGAGAGAGAGAGACAATCCATGTCTCCCCCATCTTGGTTCTGAAAGAGAGAGAGAGACAATCCATGTCTCCCCCATCTTGGTTCTGAGAGAGAGAGAGACAATCCATGTCTCCCCCATCTTGGTTCTGAGAGAGAGAGAGAGACAATCCATGTCTCCCCCGTCTTGGTTCTGAGAGAGAGAGAGAGAGAGAGAGAGAGAGAGAGAAGAGAGAGAGAGAGACAATCCATGTCTCCCCCTCTTGGTTCTGAGAGAGAGAGACAATCCATGTCTCCCCCATCTTGGTTCTGAGAGAGAGAGAGAGACAATCCATGTCCCCCGTCTTGGTTCTGAGAGAGAGAGAGGCAATCCATGTCTCCCCGTCTTGGTTCTGAGAGAGAGAGAGACAATCCATGTCTCCCCCATCTTGGTTCTGAGAGAGAGAGAGACAATCCATGTCTCGCCCATCTTGGTTCAGAGAGAGAGAGACAATCCATGTCTCCCTCGTCTTGTTTCTGAGAGAGAGAGAGACAATCCATGTCTCCCCCATCTTGTTTCTGAGAGAGAGAGAGAGACAATCCATGTCTCCCCCATCTTGGTTCAGAGAGAGAGAGACAATCCATGTCTCCCCCATCTTGGTTCAGAGAGAGAGAGACAATCCATGTCTCCCCCATCTTGGTATAGAGAGAGAGAGACAATCCATGTCTCCCCCTTCTTGGTTCTGAGAGAGAGAGACAATCAGTGTCTCCCCCGTCTTGGTTCAGAGAGAGAGAGACAATCCATGTCTCCGCCGTCTTGTTTCTGAGAGAGAGAAAAACATTAACAGGCTCATGACCTCCATACAATCGTGTTCTTCAACGTGTCTGATTAGAGGTTTGTCGAAATCGTTTGTTGTTGGGATAAAAGGTGCAGATATCACAGCCTAGCTCTAAACTACGACACAGCGTGCCACCTGCCCTTTTAAGGGTGAAGGCTGAAGAAAAACCTATTTAAAACGAATGAATGAATCAAGAATCGACATTGCTGCCCTCTGGACATTCCCAGACATGCTCTGTCTCCTTTTCTTCAGTAACCAACCAAGAGTTAACATGCTAAAAGTACCAGTAGTAATCTGAATAAAAGTCTGCCTCTGTTTCATCTGCAATATTGAATATCTTCCAGAATCTATAGTCATCCCCCTATTGAATCCTGCTGACATCGCAAGCAGAGCAACCAGAATTACCACAATGTAGGAAATGTATAGAACTGTCAAAGGAAGCATTTGAACAACAGGTTAATGATCAATTAGACATGCTTATGCTAAATAAATTTTCATAAATTGATCAATATCAAGGACAGGTATTTTTTTTCTGGTGATGCGCAATATTTTGCAGTATCCTAACCTTTTTTTTAAGGCATCATTTGTTTTGTTAGCGCTACCCTAACAGAACTTGGTAAGTAACTGCTTCTTCTTCTTCTTCACTTCCTCTTTAACGGCTGTGGGTGTCGAGGGAGATATAAGGTTCTGTTTCTAGCTCTTCTGGCTGTCTTGACCATAGGCACATCGTGTTGTTGTAGAGTTTCTCTGATGTTATCCTTCCATCTTGTTCTTGGTCTACCCCGTGCTCTACGTCCTTCTTCTCTTTCCATGTATGCTTTGTATGGTATGGTGTCACAAGGCATTCTCTCTAAGTGGGCAAACCATTTCACTTGCTGTCTTTGTATGTAATCCAGAATTGGTTCAGTGCCGACTTGTTCTCTTATGATTTCATTCCTGATCTTATCTCTTATGGTCACTCCTACAGCCCTTCTCATACATCTCATTTCCGTGGTTACTAATTTTAACTTTAATTTTAACTGCACTTTTAAAAAACACTCTGTCCTGAGTATCCGTATGGCCTCACAGTAGATTTTCTTAGTATGATGTATGACTTCGAAATGCCACCTCTTTAATGTTCAAACTGTATTTTAATGTGCTGTTTATGCGAAATGAGATGCTTACGTAAGGCTGCCAATGTCACAAGGAGAGACAGAGTTCGAAACGAGAACATTAGAGCAATTGTAGGAACCACACCATGCCTGCAATACATAAAGAAGCAACAAATAGAGTGGTTTGGCCACTTGATGCGAATGCAAACCGACCAACTGCCTCTACGAGCATACAACGAACAGCACTACTGCCCTAGAGCAAGAGGCAGATCGAGAGTACAATGGATAGACAATATATCAGAGATCCTGAAGCATCACGGACTAACAACAACACGTGCAACACACCTGGCCCAGGATAGAAAACTGCGACTCCCCACTACGCTGTGAGGCAACTGTGGACAAGACAAGACAAGACAAGACATAAAACAGCTGGTTTTATTAGCCTTTAATCAAAGCTAGGGTGCATCTGCCTGAGAGACAAGGGACCAACAGTCTGCCTACAAATCAGCGGAACTAAAAGTGGATGTGCATGCAACACTCAAGTTACGGACCAAGACTACAGTTGAGATATGGACAAATAATCAGAACTTTTTCTGGAGCTCACGGCCAAGTCGAAAGAGAAATCAAAGGGAAAACATTGGTTTGGGACTTCAAAAGTACTAAATCAAGTACAACTTCCCCCTGTGTGGGTTCCGGGGCCCCCTTGTGGGGAAAACAAGAATAGACCCACTGCCTCCCCAAAAGCATGTCGTAAGAGTCGACTAATTGGGGAGCTTCCTTTGAAGTCGGAGTGCATCTGCCGGAGAGGCAAGGAATCAACAGTCTGTATTCAAGAGAATGAGATCTGTAAAACTGATGCACACGCAACACTCAGGTTCTGGAGCAGGACTGCAGTTCAGTAGTGGACGAGCAACCAGAACTTTCCGCCAGAGTGTACAGCTGGTGAACGCGAAGAAGAAGAAGTACAACAAATTTCGGCACTCCTTGCAACAATGACCTAGGGGATGCAATCTATTGCAAGTTAACATTACTATGCTCATCCTAGGGGACGTAATCCACTGTTTGTGCAAGTTTACTGAATAATACTATTCTTTCATTTGTAATATTGTTTGAGATTAGGGTTAGAGTTGTGGCTAACTGTAACGCAAATGTGAATCAATATTATGTGAACATACACAAACAATGGATTGTCTCCCTTATGGTCGCCGCGAACAACCAGTTGTTGCGTCCCCTAGGGTCGCCGTTGCAAGGAGTGCCCAAAGTTTAAGCATAACTATAACCCATAGGTTTAAGGGATATAACTGTCGTGATTTATAATTATTATTATGTCTATTTATATTATATGAAAAACTTGTTTCAACATACGCCAATCGCACGGGGTCCTTCCCATTACTGTGCCCGATTCGACATTGTAGATCCAGTTTCTGGTCTGACAGAGGCGGTCCCCCAAGGTCTCCCGCTGAATACCTGTACTTATGAGGGAGCTCTGGTATAAGGCAGAACTTGCGGCTGAATATGATGTTATATGAGATGTTCTAGAAGTCATTTTTTCCCAACCTCTGGTATTCAGTACTGGCTCCAAATATTATAAAGTAAAAACAGTAAAACAAATAATTTCACACACAAAAACAGGTGAGAAGGAGATGCCTAACTCTCCTCCAGGTGATACAGAAATTACCCCAGGCCAGGGCTGCCAATGGCATTTGTGTGTGTGAAAAACCCAGCTTAGCTAAACAAAAACCCAAGCAGTACACAGACACACCAAAAAAACCCTAGATTGTTAAAATGTAAAAAAAATTATATTTACGAAACAAAACATTTACCACTTTTATATAAGGATATATTTAAAAAAAAGACCAAAGATTTCCCCAGGCGTCAAATAAAAAAAACCCAGATCTGGGGGGAAAACCCAGTGTTGGTAGCCCTGCCCAGGCCCCCAAGGCGCCAGGCCGGAAGCAGTTGCCAATTGGTACATGTCTATATTATCTACGTACATATGTGAGTTTACTACACAAATGTAATTTTAGTTGCAAAAAATATAAAATAAATAATCAATTTTCGCTAAAAGTTACCTTTTCTAAGGACTAAAAAAATGATAAATATGTTTGAACATTTCTGCTAAATAACCTGTATTGTTTTTTTTTAGAAGCTATTTTATAATAAGCTGGCCGATATTTGAACTTCCGGCGATTTGGGTTTTGGGAGAACGCTGAACGCGAGGTAATAAAATAATGTTGTTGTTTAGTTAGTGCTAACAGCTAAATTGCTTACTGGTCTTTGTTAATAGTATTATTTGAGGTAAACATCCTGCTGTATTTGAGTTTTTGGAGGCTTGTGTATCGTTATTTGTAGTGCGGTAAACAGTGAAGAAGACAGTCGTTGGTCATGTCATCATCATCATGCGAAGCAAACGAGTCGAGTGCATTGTTGTGATAGTGATGGTTGGATTTGATTAGAAAAGATGCAGAGGGTGGTCCGTGGGGAAATGCTGTACAGTGTTGGGTTTGACATCATGTCGTGGAATATCTGTGCAGGATTGATTTAAAGTACACGAGACAGGTTTTAGAAAGATATCACTAGCCTTAAGACTACCAACGCCACACTCTAGGTACTTTAGTCAAATTTTTAAAATGCCCTCAACACCAATATAAAACCAGCACAGTTAGATAGCTGTAAACAATCTCTTTCCAATCCAACGGTACCTCATTTAGCCTTGTATGTTATTTCTGAGCTAAGATATGTAGGTTTTTGTGGAGATGAGATGTAAAAAACAGCTGCTAAAACTTGTGTCTGAGAAACAAGAAGTTTTCTCTGCACAACCAAACTGCGCAACTTTCGTTTTGGCTTTGTTTTCATTGGACAAGACATAATAGCGATTGCCTAAAAAATGTCACTGTAAATCTAAATAGCCACGGACAAGAAAGAAATTTTATACATATACACAAATGTAAAATTGGACGGAGAATTCAATTATAACTTAAACTAGCATTACCATGTCTGGTAACAGTTAAAGTGCCAACTTTGAATAGTTGAGTTATCGCTGTTTTCAATCAAACTGATGTAACAGAAAAACAGAGGACGTCCGGCTGTCGTAGACATGCGCTGTTAATCGGGTTCGTTCCTGCCCTTTTCAGCTGTTTATAGCTGGTGAAAATCACACCAATCGCAAAATTTCATGAGAGATTAGGACCCATCCCGAAACCCCAGCTGACATTTCTCAAACAAGTTTCGAACGGTTTCCATGGTAACGGAAATTGCCAAAAAGACCACAAATTGTCGAAACTGTAGTCGCTACACACATGACATTGACTAAGAATTGATAATTGCAGTTGAAAATATTAATAAATAAGACAATTGAGGATTTTAGGTTTTGGTTTTACGAACAATATCACCATTACCCTCGCAACTTCGGTTCACAACGCTCTGGACGGATCCGTACATTCTGAACTCCCCTTTTCCTAATTGATTGACAATCATAACTAAAACGTAAAACGACTGATCAACATCCTTTTTCGGCTCTCCTATCAACTACGGCCGGTAGACAACAGTAGACCGCCGGTTAGTCGGAGTTCTGTCCCCTGGCTGCAGTGCAATTACGGACTGGAGAAGGCACGAATCAGAAAACACAGTGAGGTCGACATGCCTAGCAGACCCCGGGCTGCAACTCAAATTAGCGGCCGCGTTCAATTACCGCTTCTTGCGACGCATTACGGAGTGGAATAGAGGGAAAGAAACAAGTAACATAATTACTGTGTGTTGGCGATAGACAGCGTGCAGTGCCCTACTGTCATCATACGGTTAGGTTTAGGGTTTGGGTTGCTACTATGAGTTTGTGTGAAGCCGAGATGCGGCGGCACTAACCGTAACCGTATTATTATAGCAGGGCAGTGCACGCTGTCTATCGCCCCAACACACAGTAATTATGTCATTTGTTTCGTTCCCTCCTTTCCAGTCCGTAATTGCACTGCAGCCAGGGTACAGAACTCTGACTAACCGGCCGTAGTTGAAAGGAGAGTTCCTTTTTCTGCTGGTTTGTGTGGATTAAACTAAACAAACTAACAAATGTCTTGTCGATCAGTGGAAGAAAGGTTCATGGTGGTGGACAGCTCAAGGTTGCATTCCCGTGGGGCAGTGGAAGGTTTTTAGTCCTTTAAGGGTCAACTAGGCCTATCTATCGGCCCAAAGCAAAATAGCCAAAAAGTCGGCTAGACCTGCCTGTGAGCCCTGTATATATAAGCCTTGAGATTGGCTGGCTGGTCTTCATACCAGGCTAATCAGATTGCTTCTCACATTTCTTGCACATATAGGCTGTTCACTGGTGGGTTTTGTGAAAATTTGTTGCCTTCTGTAATTTACATCTTTTGGGTGGGGGAGCCTCTGCCCAACAATAGTGAAAAGAACTGTTGCGTCATAGCAACCAAAATATAGCAGTAGGCGTGAAATGGGGTAGAACCATGTGCCAGAGGTGTCTGGAGGGCCTACATGGGCTTTGCTTCCCAAAACACATGTGTTAGAACTTATATTGATATTCACCAGAAAAATTTGCCAAATTAAGTTTGATGTCTAAATTATTTTTAACAAAAAAGATTGTTTTTATATTGTTAAAATCCCTGTAATATATCAAGAAATACAAAATAACACTGGTAGATTTAAATGTTATTGCTTTCACTGGTGTGAAAAAGGTCATTTACATTCTATTATAATAATCTTTCTAGAATATTCCCAAATACTGCTATTTATCAGAGTTTGGTCACTCACTGAAAAAATTTTTTTTTCTTGCTCCCTCTAGTCGTGCGAGTTCCTGGACTCTCATTTTGGAGAACAAATAAAAGATTCACACCCTCACCTCACCCACCAGCATGTCGTAGAAGGAACTAATTTGGGGTTTCTCCTTCAAAGTCAGAGTGCAGCTGTCTGGAAGGCAAGAAACAAACTCTGCATACAAGTAAACCAAATCTGCAAATGGGTGTGCACACAACACTCAAGTTCTGCATCAAAGTTCCATGAAGTGGAAAGACAACCAGTCAGCTTCCTTCAGGAATTTACAGCTGGTGAACACGGAGAGGAAGAAAAATATCATTGTTTTGTGTTCTCTTGGACAGGGAGAAGAAGAAGAATATAATTGTTTTGTGTGCTCTTGAAGTTTAGAACTTTATTTTTGTTAATGTTAAACATTGAATGTATTAGTCTTTTTTATGTGTCTGGTCTGTTTACACACACATGTGTGGCATTGGGCACAAATATGTGTGTCTGGTCTGTTCACACACACATATGTGTGACAGCGGGCACGAATACCTAACACTGCACATACCTGTCAAACCGAAGTCTTCATTGAGAAAACCTTGGGAAAGGGTTAATATTTTCAACACCGTGAACCACATACCAGCAAGAACAAGTTAAAAGGGGTGTGGCCAGATGAGCAGGAAGCCAACGAGGAATAGGAAACTAACGCATAATCGTTGTAGTTAGCTGCTGCTCGCTGCAGTATTTGCTGTTTGCTGACAAGGGGATCAGAGTACTTATGGACTGAATGGGTCGATGTGCAATGAGGGTAATCTGTTAACTAACTACGTACCGAGGAAGTAGAATCCATCATGTCATATAATCCAAACATCGCCAGCATTTTTGTTATAGGAAATTTCTATGGATTTTTTTTTTAAACACATAATTAACCATGTAATTCTTTTAAAGGCTTGCTCAATAATAAGAGAGAGAAGATGGACAGAAAACAATCAAATAACTCAGATGTGCCGCAGGAGCTGGATAGACCTGGAAAATTGATGGTGTCTGGAATCCCCAAACGGGAAGACTATACAGAGAAGGAATTAGAAAAGGTGTTTACCCAGTTTGGTCGCTTAACAGAAGGTAAGACTTCATATTGGGTAATTGTGCTGTGGCTGGGCTAGTGAATGTTTGGGAAGTTAAATAACACATCATAAACTCCTTCAGTACCAGGTGACTCGAGTGAGTTTATTAGTTACTCTACAAAGTGAATGTTTGCGAAGTTTTCACTAATTTAGAAGTTAAATGTCAAATCATTAATTCTCTCAGTACCAAGTGGCTCAGAGTGAGTTTGTTGGTTACTCTTTACACATTCTTCTTCTTCAGCATTCCAAGCCCTTGAGGTTAATTGCTGCAGATATTGCCTGCTGCCATTTATCTCTCTGCTTAGATGTATCTTTCCAGTTGGTGACACCAAGTGTTTGCAGGTCTATCTGGTTATTATCTCTCCATGATCTCATGGACCATTCAACTACTCTTGTATACTGTTTTTACCACTGTCATCTGACATTCTCTCAATTTGTCCCAGTCAATTCAGTCTATTAGTCCTGATGATGCCTATGATCAATGATGATTTAAACAGATTAAAAATTTCATTGTTGCTTCATTCACTCTTCATTCCCAGCTGTTTGCATTTTTGATGGTCCAAAGATTTGTTGTTAGATTGTTTAAAAAAATGTGTAATAAGTCTTCATCACTTTTAGTTGGTGCTTCAAGTTTCAGAGCTGTATAAAACAACTGGTTTTATCATTTTAATATAATTTGTTGTTGCGAGATAAAGACTTTGATTTCAGCAGATGTCGTAGGGCAAAGTATACTTTATTTCCAGACTATTTCTTTTCTTAGAATGTTGGAGCAGTTAAAGTTTGCACCCAAGTAGTAATACTTTTTGCATATGCTTTTTAAAAACTGTTAAATCCTCTTTCAGTCAGTACATTTGGTTATTCTGTCTCAATATTTTTAGTAACTCACTTTTCCTGTCGTGTTATTGTTTGAGACTGTTTAGACTGTGTTGTCTTACTTTAATCAACAAATGTTTCAAGTATAATGAATTAAAAGTAATGCCTTCCTGGGACTGACAGAATTAATTAATATTATCGTTTGTAATACTGGCATTTCGATCTTGAACAATGAAATATTTTGGCCATATCAAGCCTCACAGTGGATTGAAAGAAAAGAATAGCAGAATGCTCGGCACCAGGAAAGAGTTGCAGGGCCAACCAACATCAAGATGGGCACAGGATGAATGTCTTTGATGTGAAAGTGCTTGAAATTTTTGGTTGTTTTGTGCGTGTGTTTGTTTTGAGCATGGCAAAATTTATCAGAACTCATATCCACATGCCGGCGCAGCTTGCATTTCTCTATTTAAGCTCTTATCTTTCATCTACAGTGCATATAGTCCGAGACAAGCGAACCAATATTCCGAGAGGATTTGCATTCGTCACATATGAGAATCCTAAAGATTCTCTGGATGCCATTAAAGCTGTGGAGGGAAAAGTAAGTGACATCATTCTGTTTCCTGTGAGCTTCTGTGTTAGCTGATTTGTCTGCCTGTATATAAATCAGCTTTTGAATAAATTATAATTAAGTTACTTCCTGTGTGGGTTCTGTCTGTGGCTTGGGTGTTACGAACACGCTTTGTAATTCTGGGGTTCGATCCCAGCTGTGGGCATTTTGCCGGCAGAGATTCTAATATTTTAAAGGTGGTATCGAGAAGCGACCTGTTAGAAAGCAGTGGCAAACTACTGGAATGCGTATTTGCCTAGTGATTTCTCAAATAGCCACACAAATGTTGGGGTTGGTTCTGCAACATGCAACTAACTGTTTAACCCTGGTTCCTGAGGTCATGTTTTAAAGGAAGTAGGATACACGCGTGCGCACGCACACACCCCCTCCTCCCCCAGGCATGTAGTAAAAGGTGACTAATTAAAGGTTTGTAAAAAAATCGGACGTGTTAGGTCGAAAGGTGCAGATATTGTAGCCTTTTTGAAATCATAACACAGGTTGCCAACCACTCCAAGTTTTAAGGGCGATTAAGAAAAATACAGAATTACATTAGATGCCAATGGATTTCAGGTTAAAAACAATGATTCATTTTTGTTTAGATTGACTTATGTTTCTAAGTCTTTGTAGTGGCATGCCAGTTTGTTATTTAGTTTGTTTATAGCGTGACACCAGTTATCATCAGAATGTTGCTCTCGTCACGCTCTGCCTGAAAGGAACTGTGTCTCTTGCTAGCTGTCCAGCATTATGCCCTTTCATGCTCAAGGAGTCACTTATTTCCTGCGCCCATCTTTGTGCTTGTCGGCCCCTGCCTCTTCTTCCTGGCACCATGCCTTCTGTTATTTTTTCCAATCCACCCTGGAGCTTGATATGACCACAATTTGTCAGCTTTTGAGAAAAGATGCTGTTTATTAATTAGTCTTCCTTTGATGTTCATATTTTTTTTTAGGATGGCAGTATTTCTTTTCTTTGTTCATAGTATTCTGAGACTCTTTCTTGACCATTTCAGCCTATTTTCTTCCTTAACTTTAACGCCCATGAATTTTGGCAGAGGGGTGGTGTACAAGAAAGGCAATAGAGAATGTTGTGTACTTCTAATCCCTACAAAAGTAGGTATTTTTTAAAAAGTGAAATGAATGTGCATATTCAGTCTGATGATAAGTGTATGTTTAATACTGTTATAGTTAGTAGCAAAGAAGAATTCAGCAGGTGTTAATTTCACAACATAATTTCACCAAAAAAAAATTGTTGACTTACCATTGTTTTGCAGCCACAAGAGCAGTGAATATTCAAATTTGAGAATAACACTTTAAAGTTTGTTAAATTTCCTTACAAATTCCAAAGTTATGATAAGTTTCTGGGTTAGTTTAGCACTCAGGGGCTCTAAGTTCCAAGAAAAAAAATGGACCAAAACACACACAATATTTGCTTTGTAGTTATATAAGACTGTAGCTGCAATGATGTAAATGTAGCTTAGCCATAGTATGGTAGCATCTATTTGGAGCACTTTCCTTCTCTCAAACTGTAACTGCTGTAGCAATGGACCATTGTCTGTATTAGACCCATCAGAATTGCTAGATTCCCTAACAGCTGATCATCATCATCATCATTAGCAAGTCCTTTACAGAATGTCACTCTCTTCACGGCACGTCTGAAAGTATCCCTTTCTCTAGCCAGCTCTCCAGCCCCATGTGCTTTCAATGGCAGTACATCTTCAATGTCTTGTATCCATCTGCTGCACCTTCCATCGTCTTTTCCAAGCCACCATGACGCTTGATGTGGCCAAAATACTTCAACTTTCTGGACAGGATGCTGTTTATGAGCCATTTCTCCTTGATGTTCAACTCGTTCAGAATGTCGATGTTTTTTTTCTCTTCCTAATCCATGGTATTCAAAGAATTTTTCTATAACATTTCATTTCAAAATCTCCAGTCTTTTTCCTCAGAGAGAGTCCAAGACACACAACTGTAGGTTGCCACAGGAAAAATGCATGATCTCAGGATTTTTACTTTAACCAGTTTACTAGAAGGTTCTTCATGTTATTTAATCTCTGCATTGTCAATGCAAGTCTTCTTCTGACTTCTTTTGAGCAGTTGCCATTGTTGTTCACTAAAGAGCCCAAGTATTCAAAACAGCTGATCGCTGGTGTAAATTTATCGTCCTAATCACTTCCCAAAAAATTTAAGTTTTCAATATCATCAGAATAAAAACATCTGACTGAAACACTTTCAGAGTTTCGGCTACAGAAAGAGACATTCTGCAACCCGTACTTGTGGCTGGAATGTTGGTATCCATGGCACTCAAAAATAAATTTTAAAAATGCACTGTTAAAAATGCTAGCTGTGAATCAGACCAGTCTGTGCTCCCATGTCTTGGAACCTTGAATTTTATTTAAAAGATGTTATATTAACCTTCCCTGAATACTTCAAAAGTAGTTCTGAAAACCACGCCGTATGTGAAACAATATTTACAGGACACAAGATCAACACTGAAAGTGTTGTTTAGGCAAATCAGAATTTCTCAATCAACACTCACAGCGTTGCTCTAAGCCTTAAAGAGTTAAGGACTGCAAGATAGTCTTCGACTTTCATCTGAATGTTTCTGCCAGGAAGATGCTTGCTCTCAAAATGTTTACTTTTAACACTGTCACTAAAATCAGTATTTTCTTCTTCAATTTTCTTTCAGGATTTAGGAGGAGAGAATAAAGTGCACTGTGAACAGGCTAAAATTGGCCACAAGTTGAGTATGATGAGGAAAACTCAAGACCCAGGGGCTAGAGGTGGTGGAGGTAACGGTCATGGAATGGGCAGAGGGAATGAATCAAATCCAGGTAGAGGAGCTGCCAGAGGTAGAGGCATGATGGATAGAGGCATGGCAGATCGAGGTAGAGGCCTCATGGATAGAGGGCAGAGGCTTTTGGACAGAAGCAGAGGCCTGTTGGACAGAAGCAGAGGCTTGTTGGATAGAAGTAGAGGCCTGATGGGCAGAGGTGGAATGGGCAGAGGGGTCATGGAAATGCCACCGTTGGAGAGGGCTATGTATGATCCCGAGGGCTTTGACTATCAAGAGGAAGAATTTTATGAGGAGTTCTATGACCTAGAGCCGCCACAGATGAGGTTTCCACCCATTGGAGGTCCTGGAGGCCACCCCATGAGAGGGGGCCCGGCATCTAGGGGGAGACAAATGGATCAAAGCTCAGTGCCATTTAGAGGTAAAAAAGGTCTCCTGCCGGACCCACTAGGACGGGGAGGTAGACCTGGCCCAAATCAAGGATCACTGCTGGGTCCGCCCCCAGATGATCTTTACGGGGATGATGCAAATGAGGCAGATTACTACGGCGATCAAGGAAATCCATTTGCAGAGGGTCAAGAGGAACCTTATCCGGAAGAGGAAGACTACCCTTCTGAAGAATATTATGAGCAAGAGTGGAGTGCACAGCCTCGAGGGAGAGGTGCTTTAATCTCTAGGGGTAGGGGTTTGATTTCCAGGGGAAGGCCTCAGGCAAGGGCACCAAGACAGCAGCACATAGATGAGTATGATTATGAAGCAGAAGCTGCAGCGGCTCAAAGGCCAAGAGCACAAGGTGGGTTCTCTTACATGAAATTATTGCCTCACTGTAAATCTCATGAAATGTTCTTCTGATGGTCTGCTAAGTGGTGTTTGCAATGTCTGTCTAAGACTGTTGTCTTGCCTGCTGTCATTATTTCTGATGCAGTTATTCTTCCATACCAAGTTTCCAAACTTTTTCTTCTGTCTTGTCTACTGTCACCATGTATCGCAGCTTTCTAAGGAGGCTGTAGGTCATATAGTATGGTATGGTTTAGTCCCTACCACATTTAGTGCAGTACTTCACTGACTGGGCACGACCCTTGCCTTGTATTAGTCACCTCATTGCTTCTCTTTTAAACCCTTGTGTTGTTGTTACCACAGTTGTGTCACTGTACATTGAACATCTCCATGCATGCTCAGTTCCCCAATGCAGCAGCCACTCCAAGGTACCTCTGCTGATTGTTCTCTTGAGGAGTTGGTTAAAGCCCTTGGTAATGAGCAGTTCTCATCTAGGCATTCTTATAAATATGGAGCATGCTTGTTTCACTCTCCGGGCCTCATCTGGATTAGCAAAAGTCTGGACCCACTGTCCCATACAAGCATGTCTTGAGACTAATTAGGGTTGTGTTGAAATTGGATGTGTTGAGACTAATTAGGGTTGTGTTGAAATTGGATGTGTTGGGCTGAAAGGCACAGCTGATATCACAGCGCAGTATGTCAACCATGCTTTTAACCCATTGACTACCAAGCATTAATTCTTGCGCTTTTGCAGATACCAGATATTTTAGTGTGTACTAGCAATGCCATAGCTTCACAGTTGTTTAAATTATGCTTATGATATTTTGTATTTTTGCACCAAACTGAATGGAAAACACATTGCACGAGAAAAGTATGTTCATTTTAGTTTGCATCATCATCTTGTTGCTGTAGATATGGTGCAAAAAAAAGGCAACAACAAAAAATCTTTTATCTGACAACAGTATATGGATTACATTTCATGACATATAGAACATGAGTTTGGGTTGTTTTATCAATTCAGAAAATGGCACAATTCAGTATCAATGCAACAACAAAATAACTTATACACTTCTCACATGTATCAAATTTTACAACCAAGATTTGTCAGTAGTGTGGTACAGTTCATAGCATTGCTGAGTACTAAGTGGTGCCTCATATTCCCCTCACCAGTGACTTAACATGGTCCCTTTGTGACCTTTTTGTTTTTTATTTTCTGGATTTCTTCATTTATCTTTTTCTACCCGCTGCCTCTTGTTCTGGGTTTTAAGTTTTAAAGCTGTTGCTGAAATTGGGAAAGGAGATGCTTCAAGGACCCTACACTTTTTTGGTATCACAAAGTGTTGCTGCTCTCTATTTGCTGAAATAATCCTCGGTAAGCCGTGTCCAGCTGTGAAATAAAATTCTGCAACTTCAGAGGTTGCTTCCCATTTTGCACTTATAGTTTTTGATGCAGCTGGTGACTGCATAACTGCAGGAGTAAACAAATGACAGAATAATTGCTGTCACTGTTTTAAAGAACAATGTGTATGTGGAATATACACTAGCAATAGGTCACCGATGTCAACTCCTGGCATATTTTGGAAATATTTATTAAAGGCAGCACATAGTGAATGTATAAATGGATGTCTACTCCAGTAGTCTGAAATAGTTAGCTTTTTCACAACATTGTGTTTCCACTCCTTGGCCAAAAAACCGTGGTTTTGCAGCAATCTTTTTCTTCATCATAGCGGTTTGTTTCTTTAGGAAACGTGGCAAGAATTGTTCTTTCTAGCAGAAATAAACCAGAAGTGTCAGTAAATGGGGGTAATTAAGGAAAGACTTGCAAATCACAATGCTAGTCATCAGTGGGGAGTGTGGCAAATCTTCCCCGGACCCATCAGATGATTCTGCATCAAAAGCGACAGTGATGTCTTTGTCATGTGCAGGCTTATACACAATATCTTCAGAATCTCAAACTATGAGTATCAGAAACTACCGCACTGGTGCTTGCTACTGACTGTAACTGCCAGTTGAGTCTTGATTTTGAAGCGACATGCCATTATTTCACTGTCGATGATGTTTTTGATGGCACTTGGTTAGGTTTATCAAAGTCAGAATCATCAAGCCGTTCAGTAATGTCTTCACTTTCCAAAGAAAAATGAAATCAAGAAAATCATGCGCAGAAACAGAGAAATATGATCACCACGATCCCTTCGAGAATTTGACACCATGGCAACAATTGTGTCAGTGTGTTAGCAGCTCAGGAGCTCACAGTGCAAACTCAATCAGAAATTTACTATAGGCACTATGGAGATGTTTCCCTTAAAGTAGTATAAAGAAATGAATCGGCTAAAGGCTTCAACCCAATTCATTCCAAAAATTGAGACTTTAACGTGACGGTGAGTGGTCCAAAGTTACATTCACATCTGGTGCAATCTTGCTAGCTAGGCATAAATGTTGATGGATCACCCAACGTGTGGTCATGGTTCGTCAGTGGGTTAAGGGAGAACACAGGCGAAGAATCTTGGAGCATATTAGAATATAAAGTGTTGAAATTGATCTCACCATTGTTTATTTTTATTCTATTCAGCCCTGGCGCCTCGGAGAGGTCCTCAGGCATATGACGAAGACTTGTATGAGGAAGAGGATCCCCGGCTGTCTGGGGGTGCATCAGATCCCTACAGCCGAGGGAGAGGAAGAGCTCAGGCCTCTGCAGCACCATCAGGTACACACAAAGTCTTTGTTGTGGGGAAGTTAGGACATCTGGGCTATACATATAGGCGGTGGAAGTTGGGAAATCTGGGCTACACGTAGGCAGTGGAAGTTGGGACATCTGGGCTACACATGTAGCCAGTGGAAGTTGGGACATCTGGGCTAAACATATAGGCAGTGGAAGTTGGGAAATCTGGGCTATACATGTAGGCAGTGGAAGTTGGGAAATCTGGGCTACACATGTAGGCGGTGGAAGTTGGGACATATGGGCTGCACACTTAGGCAGTGGAAGTTGAGACATATGGGCTACACACGTTGGCAGTGGAAGTTGGGAAATCTGGGCTACACATGTAGGCAGTGGAAGTTGGGGACATCTGGGCTATACATGTAGGCAGTGGAAGTTGGGACATCTAGGCTATACATGTAGGCGGAGAAAGTTGGGACATCTAGGCTAGACATGTAGGCGGAGGAAGTTGAGACATATGGGCTACACATGTAGGCGGAGGAAGTTGAGACATATGGGCTACTCATGTAGGCGGTGGAAGTTGGGACATATTGGCTACACATGTAGGCGGTGGAAGTTGGGACATCTGGGCTAAACATATAGGCAGTGGAAGTTGGGACATCTGGGCTGCACATGTAGGCGGTGGAAGTTGAGACATGGGCTGCACACGTAGGCAGTGGAAGTTGATACATATGGGCTACACATGTAGGCAGTGGAAGTTGGGAAAGCTGGGCTATACATGTAGGCAGTGGAAGTTGGGACATCTGGGCTATACATGTAGGCGGTGGAAGTTGGGACATATGGGCTACCCCTTTTGGCAGTGGAAGTTGGGACATCTGGGCTACACGTGTAGGCAGTGGAAGTTGGGACATCTGGGCTAAACATATAGGCAGTGGAAGTTGGGACATCTGGGCTATACATGTAGGCGGAGAAAGTTGGGACATATGGGCTTCACATGTAGGCGGAGGAAGTTAAGACATATGGGCTACACATGTAGGCGGTGGAAGTTGAGACATGGGCTGCACACGTAGGCAGTGGAAGTTGAGACATATGGGCTACACATGTAGGCAGTGGAAGTTGGGAAAGCTGGGCTATACATGTAGGCAGTGGAAGTTGGGACATCTGGGCTATACATGTAGGCGGAGGAAGTTGGGACATCTGGGCTACACATGTAGGCGGTGGAAGTTGGGACATATGGGCTACCCCTTTTGGCAGTGGAAGTTGGGACATCTGGACTACACGTGTAGGCAGTGGAAGTTGGGAAATCTGGGCTACACATGTAGGCAGTGGAAGTTGGGACATCTGGGCTAAACATATAGGCAGTGGAAGTTGGGACATCTGGGCTATACATGTAGGCGGAGAAAGTTGGGACATATGGGCTTCACATGTAGGCGGAGGAAGTTAAGACATATGGGCTACACATGTAGGCGGTGGAAGTTGGGACATCTGGGCTAAACATATAGGCAGTGGAAGTTGGGACATCTGGGCTGCACATGTAGGCGGTGGAAGTTGAGACATGGGCTGCACACGTAGGCAGTGGAAGTTGAGACATATGGGCTACACATGTAGGCAGTGGAAGTTGGGAAATCTGGGCTACGCTTTGATGATTAGCATCTCTGTTTTGTTAAAATTGTAGTTAGGCTGGCGGTGTCTCCTGCATGCTGCTGCTAAAAACAAATTTCAAGCTTCATTTAGTGTTCGTAGGCCGTCACTTTTGACCTTACTTATCATTGTTCATTTTAGGGTTATTCTTGGACACCCTCATCCCTGTAATCCATTTCTCTTTAGTGGTTCTCATGATTAGGTATACTGAATGCATAAGGCATAATTTCTGGTGATAAATCTAAGCAGTAAACTGGTATTGACTTTGAAAACCACTAGGTCTAGTCCAGGGCTATTTAACTGGCGGCCCATGGAGGCCTAGCAAGGTTTCCGCAGATCATTGCCAGCTGTAATGTATTAATGATCTTTCTGTGTTCGGAATCTAGTAAAAAGTTCCCTATTGTCAAAATTTTGGCGCCTGAGTAAACTTATTTGAATAGCCATGCACTAGCCTATTGTAGTCACATCCATATTAGCTTTCTATATTTTGAAGATCAAAAGTTGAGCTACTTCTTTACAACAGTTGGTACTCCTCTCCTTCAGCTGAAGCAGAATTGTCCAGAGAAGAAGCTTTCCAAAACAGGAGGAGGATGAATGTCAGGAATCTTTTTATGGGCTTCTGCTTGGGAAAAAGTGAATTATTTCAGTCACTTAAAAGATAACATTTTGTTAAATCTATACTGGATGGAAAATTTGAAAGCAAGAAAGCTAGAGATAGACAACGATACAAGTAGGGAGACAACATTAGAAGATTGTGAACATCAGTCTGAGAGAATATACGCCCAAGACAAGAAACAGATAGGGTTGAAAATCTGTTGTGGACACGGCACCTGATTGTTGGTTTATGTTAAGAGCAGACTGTAGGGCTTTGGTAGTGTAGGGGCTAGATGCTTTCCTATTAGCCTAAAGTTCTTGACTTCAAATTACCCTTACTATCTTATTTAAAAAATGTTAACAAATCTTTTTTTGAAGGGAGCAGTTGAAATTAAATGTACAAAGTCATACAGCTAGGGGAAAATCCATCAGTATTTGTACAGACAAATCACATTTAGATGGTGTACAATGAGGATGAGAAAAAGTATATTAAAATTTACTGAAAACATATGTTGTGAAATTGGCACATGACTGATTGATGATTCCACCACCCTTGTAGGCTGGCCAGTTATTTTCATATTTGACCTTGGCTCCCGTGCAGACAGTCTAAAATGGGTACCTGGTAGTGCCCTTGAAGTAGTGGCATCAGGTGTGATGCTGACCACCTCATCAGTCGCTAAGTGCTGATTGGTTTACAAAATATGAAATATTTCACCTATAAAATGTGAGTCTCAACATGTGCCTTATGCGCCACTGGTGTAAAAAAAAACAAGAGTTTTTTACTTAGCGATAGATGGCTTGTTACAAAATAGTGATGGTCTTGTTCATTTTTACCCCTTAGCTTCTTCAGCCAGAGTCGGAAGAGGTCACCCTTCAGGACGTCCTGGGGCAGCTCCTGTCAGAAGAGCCGGCCCCCTGCTGGAAGCAGATCCATACGGAGATGAGGATTCTGGTTTGTATGAAAGAGTGCCTCCGGGTGCGGCACTGAGAGGTGGGCCACGTGCACCAGCTGAGTACGAAGATGAACCTTATTCTGATCCTTATGGGCGGAGATTGCCTGCTGAAGCTTCGAGATTGCCTGCTGGTGCTTCAAGACAACCCGTGGCGGGTAGACCTAGGGCAGCATTGTTGTCCTCTGATTCTGTGTAAGTTGTTGTACGTTGAAAGCAAGGGCAAAAAGTTTGTTCATGTTCTTTTATTGTATGCCTAATTATAAGCAGCTTCATTTGAGCTTCATTTCAAAAGCACAAAAGAAACATCAACAAGCATGGCAAAATTAAACAAAGCATTTATTTTTTTTAAAAAAAATCCGCACTATAGGTCAGTCAAAAAAAAAGTTGCTGTAGGCATTCAAGCAAGCCTCCCATTGCTTGGGTAGGCATAGAATGCTGTTCGCAAAAACCATTGTTGTTGCTCATTGAACCAAGTATTTACCGCATTCATTACATGATATTCACTGTAAATACACTTTCGGATGTCACAGTTACGTATAAAAAAACCTTTGAACTGTTCTAATTGACACATCAGATTTCTTTTGCATATGCTTTGACAACATTTTTTTTGGAAATGTGAGTTTCTGCAAACATAAAAAGAGGGGTAGGCTTGAGTATGTCATGACAAAGGGAAAGTTGGACGAGTAAAGAGGCAAAGAGAGACAAGAGGGCTTAAAGTGTGATAAGTTAGTGTGTTTCTGCTCTGGAAAATGCCAAGCAGCAGATTTTAATGTTATATTTCTGTTCTCTTTTCCATTGATAAATTCTTCCGTTGACAGTAATTGCCATGTTTTTGAATTGGTGTGTGTTTTGATGTATAACTAGGTATCCGGGCGACAGATCCCAGCCCAGGCCACTGATGGGGGCAGACAACATGACCTCAAGAAAACCTGGATTAGGTGAGTTTTTTTTTTTGGTTTTCTGAAACTACACACTGAGCCAGTGTTTCCCAAACTTGTCTTAGTCGCGGCCCCTTTTTTTTCAGTTTAAAAATTTTACGCTGTACCCTGGCCTAAGTAAAAGTATGACTATTTGTATGTAAGAGATCAAAACAAATAAAACTTGTGTATCTTTGAATATTTCGTGGCGCCCCAGTGAAGAGGTTGCGGCTCCCCGGGACACAGCGTCTCACAGTTTTGCAATCACTGCACTAAGCTGTTCACACATTTGATCAGTATCTGACCACAAATTCTTTTTTTTATTTTACATTTTGTTTGATTACCTGGCTAATAATAAGCCACAGAAAACTGGCAGGAAATAGAGCTATAATTTGTAAAAGGTTTTTTAAAATTAGAAAGTACATTCATGGGTGCTGAAGGATTGATTGTGTTAGAAAGTGGAAACATGATTATTGTAGGATTGGTTGTACGGTTGTGATTGTGTGCTGAAGAGTTTTTCGTTTTTATGAGAAAGTACAGTCATGGTTGTGTACTGAAGGATTGGCTGTGTTAGAAAGTATAAACATGATTATTCTGAAGGATTGTTTGTGCTAGTAGAAACGTAATTATGCTGAAGGATTGGTTGTGCTAGACCTAGTAGAAACATGATTTTGCTGAAGGATTGGTTGTGCTAATAGAAATATGATTATTCTGAAGGATTGTTTGTGCTAGTAGAAACATGATTATGCTGAAGGATTGGTTGTGCTAGAAAGTATAAACATGATTATGCTGAAGGATTGGTTGTGTTAGAAAGTAGAAACATGATTATGCTGAAGGATTGGTTGTGTTAGAAAGTAGAAACATGATTATGCTGAAGGATTGGTTGTGTTGGAAAGATCATGATTATGACCACAAATTATTTTTTTTTTTAAGTTTAACATGATTATGCTGAAGGATTGGTTGTGTTAGAAAGTAGAAAGATTACTGAAAATTGGTTGTGTTAGAAAGTATAAACATAATTTGTAAAAGGATTGGTTGTGTTAGAAAGTATAAACATGATTATGCTGAAGGATTGGTTGTGTTAGAAAGTATAAACATGATTATGCTGAAGGATTGGTTGTGTTAGAAAGTATAAACATGATTATGCTGAAGGATTGGTTGTGTTAGAAAGTATAAACATGATTGTGTGCTGAAGGTTTTTTTTTTTTAGAAAGTATAAAACATGATTGTGTGCTGAAGGATTGGTTGTGTTAGAAAGTATAAACATGATTATGCTGAAGGATTGCTTGTGTTAGCAGAAACGTGATTCTGCTGAATGATTGCTTGTGTTAGCAGAAACTTGATTATGCTGAAGGATTGGCTGTGTTAGAAAGTGCGATCATGATAATTTGCTGGTGTTTTTGTATGTGAGAAAGCAATCATGGTTGTGTGCTGAAGGATTGGCTGTGTTAGAAAGTGCAGTCATGATTTATGTGACCCGGATTGGGGGTGTTAGCAGAAACAGTCATGATTATGTGACCGGGGAGGGGGGGGGGGGCTGTGTTAGAAAGTGCAATCATGATTTATGTGCTGGTGGGCGGGTGTGTGAGAAAGCAATCATGGTTGTGTGCTGAGGGAGGGGCTGTGTTAGAAAGTGCAGTCATGATTTATGTGACTGGGTAGTTGAGTTAGAAATGCCTGAGCATTGTTGCAGATGTCCTGTTATGCTCTTGCAGCACTGTCTCCTCCTTGGGCTTACTTGTTTACTCCTGAGGACATGTGACACCAATACTTTTCGGGCAAAACATGCTGCAAAATTTAAACGTAGGCTCACCTTTATTGAATTAGTCTTCCTTAGACCCTCTTCATTCTCATTTCATGTATTGTTTTATCAGGTCTTGAAGAAAAAGCCCGGTAACTTGAGTTTACTCATCAATAAATTATCAACAACATGTATCTACTCAGTTGAATACAGAATCGACACACAAGGCAAAGGCAATTGGCTGTAATACTTCAAAATGTTTGGATCATAATGTATTTGAAGAATTATAGGTGCTAAAAGTTTACACTGTTTTTGTAAAGTAATGTTTGATGTTGCAACAATTACCCGTTTCTGTAATCTAATTGTTACAACCATCAGGAGCAGGTGCTTCTCGTTTTGATGATGATGACGATGAGGATGATTATCAGGGCCCAGGAGGTACATCCACGCCACAGGCTAGGGCAGCTTATCCAGATGGAAGGAGACCACCTGTGAGGAGGTAGGCTTGTTGACTTATTCTTTTAGTTGATCCTTTCTGCCATTTAAATTTCCTCATATGTTGTCTCATTATTGTCACATAAGGCTCTTAATCAATTCCTCGATTCCTTTCTATCCTTGCATCATTTATGATTTTATGGTTGGAGTCCATCCATCACCTTCGACCTCTTTCAGCAAAGTTTGTTTGGGGGTTTCTCTTAACATCCTCGACATCTCAGTCCATTTAGTCTTAAATGGTGCTTAAGATAAGAGGTACTGTAGGTAAAGACATAGTAGTTTATGTTGAATATTTTCACTAGTCATTATTTAGCTGGTCCTTTTTTATGTTGCATGTAGAGAGAGCCCTGACAGGATGTGAGATTCTCTGTTGTCCTCTTTGTTTGTCTAATATCTGGGTTTTATTTTTAAATTATCATTAGGCATCACAGTTGATAGGTAGCTAAGTTAGGGTATGTTCAGTTGCTTGGTAATTTGTGAGGTCTTAAACCGTCATTGAATCCTTCAGTCCACATTTTTCCAGATCTTCCTCTTTTTCTTGGTGTTTCCATTCTTATGTTGTGAGCTCTTGCAGCTGGCAATACTAGATTCATTCTCACCGGGTGGCCAAACTAGTCCAGTCTTTGTTCTTCAGTGAATGTAACAGTGAGTATTGTTCCAATAGTAATCTTTTCATTTCCCACACAATGCTTCTGGTTTCTTTCTTTTTTTTGGGGGGGGGGGGGGGGGGGGGGGTTAAATAGAGAAAAGTCTGTCCCTAATTAAGTAAGTAAACCTTGCCACGTTGACTTGCGATGTTCTGCTCACTTTGGTCCCGATTCGCGGCTTTAATTGGAGGCTGGGTTGTCTGCTGCTTTCAGAGCGGCTCCTGACCTGGGCATGGGAGAAGAAATGTATGACAGGATGGCATCATCAACCAATGAGGCTTATGCCTCCTTCCCGCCAAGTTCCAGAGTTCCAGGGAATCTCTTCAGGTTTGTTGTCTGTCTCTTCCACTGTGGTCCAGAGATGCTTTTTCTAAAACTTCTGATGAAATATGAGGGGGTGGGGGGTGGCCTTCAAATGAAATTTAAAAAAAAAAAGTTTGATAGAAATTATAACGATGCCATAGTGGTAACCTGTCAGTATTATTGCTAAGGATGTCAAGAGTGCTAAGCACATGGCATCACGGTGCAGATATACTCGGAAATTTCTGTGGACATGACCTGGTTGTGAACAGTCTGTCACAGAAGCTACTGTGTTTTAAAATCTCCTACTCCACTCATACACTTGCTAGACTAGCAGGCATACACCACTATACCGTGCTGTAATTTGCCAATAAATGTTACCTCTTAACTGTTTCCCAAAAAATAATTGCTCCTCTTTGATGCATGTCAAAAGTGGGACAGTCATCTATAAAATGTTGTTATGACATCACCTGTCATCTGCACCCTGATGTCATGTGATTAACATCTTGACATCCCCAACAACAGTATTGATAGATTACAAGACAGTTGGATAGTTATTGTAATATCTGTCACACTTTCAAGGATTTCATTTGAAGCCCCCTAATGTGATGCTTGATGATTTCAGTTGTGTTTGAGGAAACAGCAGCCACCGTGAATAAAACATTAGTGTATTTTTGACAGCAGCAGAAAATGTAACCCCTTTATTTTGTAAAAACATTCTCATGCTTGTCAAAATAAATGGCCAGGTTTTTAAAATGTGCAACCAAATCAAGCATTGCTTTTTGAATATAGCACATCACATACAGTGCATTGTTTGGGATTAAATTATTTGAAGGGTAAACACACAAGAAGACGATGTTTGATCTAGAGTGTAAATAAAGATGATACTAACTATTAGGTCTATCTGTCTTCTGTTATTGCCTGAGGTTGGGTATACCAAACCTGGCATCCCACATTGTGTCAATGGCTTCGGGCAGAGGAGGGCATTGGGGAGGAGACTAGACTTATCCTAGGAAAAGGAAAGGCTTCTTGAAAACTAAGTTATGACAGGGCTGACCAAGCACTTAGCCTTGGCTGGCAGCTGGTCTAGGAGGGAAGCTCTGACAGGTGGACAGATAGAGCACTGCTCTTCTGATCTGGCAGCTTCTGCAGCCTGCTATGTTTGAAACCTACTGATGTGTTACCTTTCCTTCAGGGTAAACAAGACAGGCCGAGTGACGGATCATGAAGCATGGGCAACATACGGTCTCTTGTCAGACTGCCCAGGTTTTATGCTCTGGCCATTCTTATAGTCACTCTCTTGCCATGGACTTTGGGCCACATGCCTCCTTATAACACTATCGCCCGGAAAGATTCAAAGGTGCCAACAACTGTTAGTAGCATTCCTTTTTTCCTTCTTTTCAAATTATTCAGTGACCCATATAGCCGGAAGAGACCAATAGACCCATATGATGAACCCGAAATGGGTGGTCATGGAATGTCTGCAGTCTTGCGAGAGTATGAAGAGTTGAGATCGGCAGCTCTAATTTCTGCCAAAAGAGACAGGTAAGTTCAGTTTGTTTCTTTGTTTCATTTTTTTTTTCATGAAGAGAATTGTTAACTCTATTCTACACATAATAACTCTCTTGTGGGAGGAAAAGTCATAATAATGTAAAATAGAGTGGATTTTATATAAATGCTAGGTAATTTTTACAAATGTGGCAATGAATTCAACCCCCCCCCCCCCCCCCCCTTTTTTTTTCTTTTTCCTCCTCCTCCTCCTCTTCTTCTTCTTCTCCTCCTTCTCCTCCTCTTCTTCTCCCCCTCCCCTGACACCACCCTTCTGTAAGAAATCTTGTATATTACTCTGAAACATGGATTCCTGCAGCGTTAGCATATTATAATGACACACTTTATAGAATGAAAAGGAGTCCTTTATAATCGTATGGATAGTAAACATTGTGCTCATGTAATTACTAAAAGCTGAAGTAGTCAGTGAACATTATTTACAACATGGGAATACCTGGAGATTGTCACTGGAGCTAAGGGTATTGTGCTTTTTGCAACATTCTGTGCCATTGGTCTGTAAAATATAGGTCTAGCCCTATATACCCAAAACACTTTGAAGACGTGAAAAGGGTCCTTTAATTTTGCTTCTAAGTAGGAGTGCATCTGCCTGAGAGGCAAGGAATCAACAGTCTGCTTACGAGATGATTGGCTGGTCAAGATTCAACATAAGAATGAAACATTTGTTTTGTCAGGAGTCCCTTAAGGAAAAGATTTTAAGTTGGTCAAGATTCGAATTAAGAATGGGGTGATTTTTTTGGTCTGTATGATTTAGCAGTCATCAAATTGTGATTTTATGTCTTCCCTCGTTCACAGACCAGGTGATCGAGGTGGCTATGATCCATTCGGAAGACAAGAAGCGCTGTATAGAGGGGGTTTGTAAAGGTAAGTCATCTTGTACTTTTTTATGGAAGGAACCATATTTTCTCTGGCACACGGCTGAGGCTTAATCCAAACCACAACCGACATTCAATGTCCTGAAAGATTTTATTGTTGTGCGGCATAGTTGTCTACTCTTGGAAGCCCAAAAACTGTTTAGAAATGAAAACAGTTGGCTGACTGGTGTAAAAAATATTTAACCACAGTAAAGACACTACGAAGACAAGCCATCATTAGCAGATAACAATAAATAAAAAATGTTTCAGCATAAATAAGACAATGATGCTGAAGCAACTACATTAAGGCTTTCAATATTATGCAAACACGTGAACCAAGCTTAAGCAAGAAGAGTGAACATTAAATAATATGTGATACTTAACACAGCCAGTTTGAATCTTAAAATAAAATGAAGCAAACCTTTGAGAAATCATGCCTAAGTTGAATAAACTACTGTAAACTGCAGAATTTAATTTAATGCAATGCCCTCTAGCATAATATGCCTAATGTGATACTGGCACAAAAAAGGGTCTTTTACATTATTTCTCCTTTTTTTTCAACTTTTTTTCTCCCCCAATGGAGCAGAGGCCCTCAACCAACTCACACCAAGTCGTTCTGTTCTTCGCTGTTGCGTGCAACTCCCCCCATCTTTTTTTTTAACTTTGCTCTCTTATTTCCCTTTATGTATTTTGGAACTGCCTTTATTTCTATGCCCTTGTGGGTTCCAGTGCAAAGTCATTCTAGTTATATTGTCCTCAGATTTTCTCAGCATGTGGCCTATTTTAAACTTTATTTACCTTTGACATTACCCTCTCAATAGACACGAAAAAGAATAATCTTGAAAATGCATGTACATTCGAGTGCTAGCATGTCTTTATATAGATAAGTAAAGATGAAAATGTATTTCCTTTATTGTTGGCATTAGAAAAAACATTAGATCAGTTGATTATCACCTGGTTTATGCACACTTTGCCTTTTGTGTTTCAAAGACTAGGGAATGTTTGCTCTGAACCCAAATGGCAAAATTGAGCCAGACACGCAATTGTCTTCGCATATGTAAAAAAAATTTGTTCCGTTAATTTTACAGGTGTAAATTACTATATTTGGTCTTAAATGCTTCAGTATTGTTTGGCTTGGTGGGGAATTTCTGGTGTGTTACGCTGTCACCAGATGTCGTGAAATTAATAAAGTAGGAATACAGGCATAAGAATGATTTCACTATAGCTTTGGTGCGTCCTGAAACAATTATTGGTGAAATTTATAAATATTCTCTACACAACTTAGTCTGTATTTGATTTCTTTTGAAACTTGCAGTATTTATATTCAATTTCTTTTGGTAAATGAATAGGTAGGTAGTCTTTTATTTGATTTCTTTTAATGAAGAAACAAAGTAACACTGGACTGTAGTTTCAATAAATAAATTCCTGAATTGAAATTTCTGCTGATAACTTAAACTGTTAGCATGTAATTAAATAGACACTGTGCTTTTATACAATGTTGATATGTCAACACTGCCAAAGGACAATGAGGCATTCTGCAAAAATACTCACGTCATCATTCTTGCTTTGATGTTTACCAGTGACGAGAATTTTGTTTTTCCTTCTCGGTTTTTCTTGCTTGCTTGCTGTTGTTTGTTTTCCCTAGCATGATTTTTACGAGTTGTCTTTTAATAGCCAAATTATTACAGTTGTCTCTTTTGATTTTCAGTAACCTTCTTTATATAAAACCAATGAAGGCAATTCTTTATAAAAACCAATAATAAAATTTTTTTTTAGCAACCCCTGAGAGATATTCTATATAGAGGTTGCCTCCAACTTTTTTTCAACTCCCCTTTACCCTCCGAGTGTATAGTAAGAGCTCCCCTTGAGTATTGCAATACCTTCACACCCCATTGAGTACATGACCCCCACGCCTTCTTCCAACCCAACAAAATGTGATTAACTAAAGAGAGGACGTCAAGGGAAACTGTCAGTATGGAGATACATTCTAGTCAGAATATGTTCTTTATCTATAAATGCCCGTGTTATATTAATTTGATTTTTAACTGTAGATAGATAAATTGATTATGAAAACAAACAAAACATGACCTTAGCTTTTATTTTATAAATGGTTTATCAAAAAATATTTTATTTAATTTATAATTAATTGTGTGAAAATAATACAACAGATCAATACAAATGCACTCAATTTCAAAATTTGCTTGATGCCCCCTTGAAACTACCTCATGCGCCCTTAGGTGTCAGACCAGTGAAAGAGAGTAGTTTTTTTTTATAGAAGCCAATGATATCAAGAGACTCTTTATAAAAAAAAATGCCTTAGAAGAATACTAAATTTCAAATGGTCAGATTTCCGAACCAATACACAAATAAGGCAAGAATCCAGGCAAGAGTATGTGTCTAATTTTATACGAAAATGACTTCCTTACCAAGCCCTCATTTGGACACCACAGGGGAAAAGATCTTGTGGAAGACCAAGGGAAACCCTACGTAGAACTATCATCAGGGAAGGCTCGCTCATGGGCCACTCAAACATCCAAGACCTACAACAGATTGCAACGTACCGCCATGCATGAAGATTCATGACCTCTGCCCTATGTGCTGCACTTGACACAAGAGGAAAGACTAACTAACTTTATAAAAATGATACAAATAAATTCTTTATAGGAACCAAAACTACAGAAACCACTTATGCCTGTCCATAAGTTTGTTAACACAAAGCTGTGTTATCACTGACAGCAGCTAGTGCTGAGGACACTTAAAGGGGAATGACTGATGATAGACCATACCGATGAAGGTCTCAGGCAAGAGCCTTCATGAGCAGCAGTTAAACACAGTATCTGATGTTATATACAGAATTGACAAGCCATATTCCAGTTATATGCGTGATGAAAACCCACACGTGCACTGATGTAACTGTGATGCATCATAATAATTACGTAGAGTGAAGAACGTTCATTACATGGGTTGGCATGATTGCAAAACCTAGTAATAATTAGTCACACTAGGAGTAAATACCACACATACACTGGGAATAAATTGTCACACACACACACACACTGATTATGAATACCACCACATACACTGGGAATAAATTGTCACACACACACACACACTGATTATGAATACCACCACAGACACTGGGAATAAATTGTCACACACACACACACTGATTATGAATACCACCACAGACACTTGGAATAAATTGTCACACACACACACACATACTGATTATGAATACCACCACAGACACTTGGAATAAATTGTCACACACACACACACATACTGATTATGAATACCACCACAGACACTGGGAATAAATTGTCACACACACACACATACTGATTATGAATACCACCACAGACACTGGGAATAAATTGTCACACACACACACATACTGATTATGAATACCACCACAGACACTTGGAATAAATTGTCACACACACACACACATACTGATTATGAATACCACCACAGACACTTGGAATAAATTGTCACACACACACACACACTGATTATGAATACCACCACAGACACTGGGAATAAATTGTCACACACACACACACTGATTATGAATACCACCACAGACACTTGGAATAAATTGTCACACACACACACACATACTGATTATGAATACCACCACAGACACTTGGAATAAATTGTCACACACACACACACATACTGATTATGAATACCACCACAGACACTGGGAATAAATTGTCACACACACACACATACTGATTATGAATACCACCACACACACTTGGAATAAATTGTCACACACACACACACACTGATTATGAATACCACCACAGACACTGGGAATAAATTGTCACACACACACACACATACTGATTATGAATACCACCACACACACTGGAAATAAATTGTCACATGCACACACATACTGAATATGAATACCACCACACACACTGGAAATAAATACACATAAACTGTGAATAAATTGTCACACACACAAATACTGAATCTGAATACCACACATACACTGGGAATAAATAAATGCTCACACACACAAATAGTGAATATGAATAACACCACATACGCTAGAAATAAATGTGGGTTGGCATGATTGTGGCCACAAAATTAAGCACACACACGGGCTGGTCTCCTGGGTAAGACCTGTTAAATAATTGCATAAGATGGAATGAATACCACATACATGTATCTGTACAGCTGTGACAACTCGTCACCAGTTCTCAAGCCAAAGACTCATTGAGCCTTCTCTTATTTTCCAAGGTCTACCTTGGACCACTACTTTTTAATAGATAACCTGAAGAACTTTTTAAGCCCTGAGGAAACCCTGAGTTAAAACGTGGATAAGAGAAGGCAAATGCTGGACTGGATTCCATCCATGATACTGATCTGGTTTCACAGGGTAGAACAGAATGGATGTAAAGACTGTGAGTCTTGTCTGACATAGTAATGGCACAACAGGATAATAAATAAATCTATTTTCAAATATTTAACCACAGAACAGATTGCATTCTAACTTTCTAGCTTAATTTAATTTGTAAATTTTGTCATGTACCCCTTAAATTTGTTTAGCTAAACCCCAGGGGCCTGCGGGCCGTACAACTAAACACCTCTGCGGATAATTACATAAGCTGAAGAAAATACAACAGATGTAGACCCACAATGCTTATAGCAGCTCTAGAAATTATGGTGACTGCCAGTAAAGACCCCACATGGGAATTAGTAGGGCATATCAGAACAAAGAACTGGTAATTTAATTTCCTTCCTTGAGGCCTTGGAGGGCTCTAAACTGTCGTTTACTGACCCTCTCAGAATAGGATCCATTTACATTTACTTGAGGTAGATGAATGTATTTTAGGATAGAAAATGTTGATTTAATGACAGTATTTTAAATAAAAGTGTTTCACCACTTTTTTCCTAGAGGGCATCAACAAAGAATTGCTTCTGCCGTGGTCAGATATATAAAAAAAATATATCTTACTAACTGTATTTACCATTTTTAAGACCAGCAGTGACA